TCGCCCGGGCAGGCGCTTGTGGCCCACACCACCGCCGCCCCGTCAACCGCGGCTGTCGCGCCCTCGGCCACTGCGCCGCTGGTGGCGGAGGACGTCGCGCTGGCAGGCTTCGCGGCGTCAACCGCGGCCATCGCGCCCTCTGTCACCGCGCCGGCTGCCCCTCCGACTGTCTCCACGGTGTTCTCACCTCAGCCAGTCTCCTCGATGGGATCGCAGCCGCCGCCGCCGTTTCACTTCGGCCATCTCATCACCATCAAGTTATCGTCGGACAATTACATCTTCTGGCGCGCGCAGGTTCTTCCGCTTCTTGGGAGTCACTACCTGCTTGGCTATGTCGACGGCTCTCTCCCTTGCCCTCCTGCGCTGGTTGACAGCGTGCATGGTGCGGTCTATAATCCGGCTCACCGTGTCTGGACAGGGCAGGATCAGGCGAACCTTTCCTCCATCCAGGGGTCGCTCTCTCCGGCCGTTGCTGGGCTTGTTGTCTTCGCCAAGACGTCCCACGAGGCATGGACTATTCTTGAGCGCTCGTTTGCGGCACAGTCGCAGGCTCATGTATCTGGGCTCTGTCGCCAACTTGGGGAGTGTCAGAAGCTTGACTCCACCGCCACTGAGTTCTACAACAAAGTCAAGAGTCTCGCCGACACGCTGGCCTCCATTGGACAGCCCCTCACCGACTCCGAGTTCAACTCGTTTATCGTCAATGGTCTTGATGAGGAGTATGACGCCCTAGTCGAGATCATCAATGAGAGGGGCAACTCCACGCCCATGCCAGCACACGAGGTCTTTTCACGCCTCCTGCTTACTGAGCAACGAGTCGAGACGCGCCGATCCAGGGGCAACGGCGCCCTCTCGGCAAACGCCGCCACCAAGGGTGGTCGCTCCTCTGCTTCATCCAGGGCTCCTTCGGGGCAGTCACCACCACCCGCCTCGGCCCCTCCTCCTACTGCGACGCTACCAGGGGCTGGCGGTCCACGTGTGTGCCAGCTTTGTGGTCGCGATGGGCACTGGGCCTCGAAGTGTCACAAGCGCTTCCAGCGGGGTTTTCTTGGTCTTGGCAATGACGGGAAGGATACACGCAACTTTGCTCGTCAGGTCGCCATGGCTGATCGTCCGCCGCCGCAGAAGCCACAGGGACACACTCAGTCCTACTCCATTGATCCCCACTGGTACATGGACTCTGGGGCGACAGAGCACCTGACCAGTGAGATGGGGAAGCTTCACACTCGTGAACCCTACCATGGCTCCGACAAGATCCACACCGTCAATGGAGCAGGTATGCACATCTCTCATATTGGTCAAGCATCACTTCTCACTAGACATGCCAATAGGAGTCTTCAACTTCGCAATGTTCTGCGAGTTCCATCTGTGACACGTAATCTTCTTTCAGTTCCTAAACTCACTCATGATAATAATGTGCTTTGTGAATTTCATCCTTTTGATCTTTTTATTAAGGATCGGGGCACGAGGGACATTCTTCTTAGTGGGCGGCTCTGCCAAGGTCTCTATCGTCTGGAGCATCCTGGCGTCGCTCGCGTCTTCAGTGGAGTTCGGGTATCTCCGTCACAGTGGCATGCTCGTCTTGGTCACCCGGCCACACCTATTGTCCGGCATGTTTTGCGTCGTCATGAGCTTCCTAGTGTGTCTAGTAATAAAGATGTAGCAGTGTGTGATGCTTGTCAGCAGGGGAAGAGTCATCAACTTCCTTTTTCGGAGTCCAGTCGTGAGGTGAAACATCCTTTAGAACTTGTGTTTTCAGATGTATGGGGTCCTGCTCAGACTTCTGTTAGTGGTCATAATTATTATATCAGTTTTGTTGATGCTTACAGCCGCTTTACCTGGCTTTATCTTATCAAACGTAAATCTGATGTGTTTGACATTTTTGTTTAGTTCCAAAAACATGTTGAACGCCTTCTCAAGCACAAAATTGTTCATGTTCAGTCGGACTGGGGTGGCGAGTATCGCAACCTCAACTCCTTCTTTCAGTCGCTTGGGATCACTCACCGTTTAGCATGTCCACATACACATTAGCAGAATGGTTCAGTAGAACGTAAGCATCGTTACATTGTTGAAGCTGGTCTGACTCTTTTGGCCCATGCATCTGTTCCGTTTCGTTTTTGGAGTGATGCTTTCACCACTGCATGTTTTCTCATCAATCGTACTCCCACTCGTGTTTTGAATATGAAGACTCCCATTGAAGTTCTCCTTAATGAACAACCGGACTACACCTTTCTCAAGGTGTTTGGGTGTGCTTGCTGGCCCCATCTCCGTCCATATAACAAGCGTAAGCTCGAGTTTCGTTCCAAGAAGTGTGTTTTTCTTGGTTATAGCTCTCTTCATAAAGGATACAAATGTCTTCATGTTCCCACTAATCGTGTCTACATCTCTCGGGATGTTGTGTTTGATGAGCATGTTTTTCCCTTTGCCAACCTCCCTGTGTCCACTACCGAGCCACCTGTCATGCATTCATCCTCTGTTGCTTCTGACCAATTTGATGATGTTGCATATTCTCCTCTATTGTTGCCTAACCATGGTGCAGGCACTGGTCATGGGGCTCGTTTGGAGATTCTGGAAGCGCCATCTTCCTCTTCGTCGCCATCGCCTTCATCCTCGGCACCTTCTATTGTGCATGAGGAGCACATGGCGCCCCTGCATGGCCTCGGTTTCCGTGCTCATGCAAGGCCGATCGACGTCCTGGCCCGGTCGCCTCTGGCTTCTGGGCTGCCTTCGCCATCGTCGCGCCCTGCAACCCCGCCGACTGGGCCGGCCTCCTCGGTCCCCGTCTCGCCCAGGGCGTCGGGGCAGTCATCACCAGGCCTGGCCTCGCCCGCCCCTGCCTCGCCCAGGGTGTCTGGGCCCTTCTCACCAGGGCCGGCCTCGCCTGCTCTCGCCTCGCCAAGGCCGTCTGGGCCGGTGTCACCGGAGCTGGCCTCGCCCACCCTCGGTTCGCCCATGGCCTCTGAGTCCCTGTCGTCGGGCCAGTCTTCGCCATGCAGCCCGGAGTCGTCTGTCCCGAGCTCGCCTGAGGTGATTCCTGCATCTCCGGCGACCGTCACGTCTCCGTCACCTTCGCCTCCGCCGGCTCCTGCTGCTGCTCTACGTCCACATACGCGCAGTCGGAGTGGCATTTTTCAGCCTAAGCAACGTCACGATGGCACAGTTGCTTGGTTAGCGGCGTGCATGTCTGCTGCTCTCGCAGATCCATCCTCTGAGCCACGCACGTATCAAGCTGCTATGCGCATTCCTCATTGGAGAGAGGCCATGGAGCAGGAGTATCAAGCGCTTCTTCGCAATCAGACATGGACTCTTGTTCCTCCACAATCACGGGTAAATGTCATTGATTCCAAATGAGTTTTCAAAGTGAAGAGGCATTCTGATGGGTCCATTGAGCGCTATAAGGCTCGTCTGGTTGCTCGTGGTTTTCGACAGCGTTTTGGACTTGACTATGAAGACACCTTCAGTCCAGTGGTCAAGCCTACTACCATCAGACTTCTTCTCTCTCTGGCTGTTACTCGAGGTTGGTTTCTTCGTCAGCTTGATGTTCAAAATGCTTTTCTTCATGGTGTCTTGGCGGAGGAGGTTTACATGCGCCAGCCTCCGGGTTTCTCTGATCCGGATCGCCCTGATCATCTCTATCGTCTGTCCAAGGCAATTTATGGTCTGAAGCAGGCTCCTCGTGCTTGGCATGCTCGTCTTGCAATGGCTCCTCGTGCTCATGGTTTTGCATCATCAACTGCTGACTCCTCATTGTTTCTTCTTCAAAGGCCTGAGGTTACTATGTACTTGTTGATCTATGTAGATGATATCATTTTGGTCAGCTCCTCTCAGTCGGCTGCTACTGCGCTTGTTCGCTCACTTGATGCTGATTTTGCGGTCAAGGACCTTGGGAAGCTTCATTACTTTCTTGGTGTGGAGGTTACTTCTCGTGCTGCTGGCCTTGTTATGATGCAGAAGAAGTACTCTCTGGATTTGTTGTAGCGAGTTGGGATGCTTAAGTGCAAACCGACGACTACACCCATGTCTACCACTGATAATCTCAATGCTGTTGATGGTGTGCTTCTTTCTTCTTCTGATGCGACCGAGTATCGGAGTATTGTTGGTGGGCTCCAGTACTTGACGATCACGCGACCAGACATTTCCTATGCTGTTAACCGAGTCTGCCAGTATCTGCAGTCACCCCGTGACACTCATTGGTCTGCTGTTAAGCGGATTTTGCGCTATATTCGTTTCACGGTGGCTCATGGTTTGCATATTCGGCCGTCTGACCCTGGTTGTCTTTCAGCATATTCTGATGCAGACTGGGCTGGCAATCCGGATGACAGGCGATCCACGGGGGGTTATGCTGTCTTCTTTGGCTCTAACCTGATTGCCTGGAATGCTCGGAAACAGGCTACTGTCTCGCGTAGCAGTACTGAGGCTGAGTATAAGGCTGTGGCCAATGCCACATCAGAGATTATCTGGGTACAGTCCTTGCTTCAGGAGTTAAGTATACCCCAATCACAGCCTCCTGTTTTTTGGTGTGATAACATCGGTGCTACATACTTTTCTGCAAATCCGGTATTTCATGCCCGAACGAAACACATTGAAGTTGACTATCACTTTGTGCGTGAACGTGTCTCTCAGAAGCAACTACAGATCAAGTTTATTTCTTCCAAGGATCAACTTGCTGACATCTTCATCAAGCCATTGCCTTTGCCACAGTTTGAGACTTGCAGGCGCAATCTTACCCTTCTAGATTCATTAAAAAGTGGCTAAGATTGAGGGAGGGTGTTAGACTGTATTTACATGTGTATATTGTAACGTTGTATACCACCTCATTATATATATATGTGATAGGCCACCCCTAGAGGGTTGTGTCGGTTCCCCCAAAGCCTATTGTCTTACAATCGGCAAGGAGAAGAAGGTCAGTAGTACATGTATATATGCACACGGACGTTGTACATGTAATTATCAGTTGCTAGCACTCACGTACAGGGACTCACGGGCTCATGTGCGTGCAGGTGCTGGACGACACGACGTTCGCCATCTTCGTGATCATGGCGCTGACGACCACGGTGATCGCGACGGCGCTCATGACGGCGCTCTACCGGCATCAGTCGACGGCCACCATGCCGGAGATCGATGGGATGGAGCTCAAAGGAGGCGACGCTTGCCCGGCATAAACTCAGGGATTATCGATCGGTCATACACTCATACTCCAGGAATTCCCATACTCCATACTTTGGCAGTGATACTCGCCGCGAAATATGCACCTATGTGAATCGTTTGGTTTGTGTGTTCAACTGTTCGTGCATGTACTGAAGTAGGAGAGCTACGAGGTCATGCAGGCGGGTGTTGCTCTGTTTTCTTCTTCTTCTTGTGGCTATATATCAGCTATCGCTGAACGATAGCCATGTGCCGTAGCACTACCAAGCTTCGAAATGTATCATTTTGGGTTTGCCGATGTAATGTTATTAATTACTTCCTCCGTTCGGAATTATTTATCTCGGAAATGGATGTATCTAGAATTAAAATACATCTAGATACATCTATTTCTACGACAAGTAATTCCAAACGGAGGGAGTAATTCTGAATGATATCACCCTTTGGTCTTGGTCCAATAACATAAGGCTAGGACAGTGGCAAGTTGTGACATCCAAAGAACAAACGAATGACATAAGATTCAGCTAACGTCATCACAAAGAAAAGACAGATTATAATCCATTTTAACCCAACGCGGAAGAGACGGCCGACTCCTTTTTGTTCAATCCTGTGCGTCGAGAGGACTTGAACTCGGGTGGGCTGGCAGCAACCTTAGCTGCCCAACCAACGGGTCGACGCCCCATCCTCAATTATAATAATTATAAGTACTATGCAACTACACAAGGTAAGGTCTAATTTCACAAATCATGAATCGCACTCCCATGTGTTTGGAAAGAAGGCGTATAAATTTCGTCAGAAGCCAAACAAATGCAAAGTTTGACCTAGTTTATAAAAAACCTATTGATAATTATGACAAAACACAATAAATACATTTTCATATTATTTAGCAATCTCTTCGTTCATAAATATAAGATGTACTAAGTTTTTCTAAACCAGATGTTTTAATCTTTCACATTATGAATCAGTTTGTTCACTCATTAGTCTGTATGTACAACTCTCTCCGTTCCTAAATATTTGTCTTTCTAGACATTTCAAATGACTACTACATACGGATGTATGTAGACATATTTTAGAGTGTAGATTCACTCACTTTGCTCCGTATGTAGTCAATTGTTGAAATGCCTAGAAAGACAAGTATTTAGGAACGGAGGGAGTAGTTCAGAGTGAAAAATTCAAAACGTCCTATTCTTGTGAACAGAGGGAGTATTGTAGTCGTTGAGGATTAGATCAGCTCAATTACCTAAACACGCAAGTTCTGTTTTCTTTAAACGCTCAATTACCCAAACCTGAGTCCTAGCCTGCATCTCTTCACTCGGGAGAGCTCGGACAGGCTCGCTACCCTGCGTTTTTTTAGCAACACCCGTTATCCGACACCTCCTATCTGCCGCATTCTGCGGCAGAATGTTGGGACTTCGCACAGGGAAGTCGCCCGACTGGGCCGGCCCATGCAAGTTGCCAGAGGTGTAAAAAATCAGCAGGCTGCTAGCATGTAAAAAAACAGAGAAAAACAAGTGTCATCTAGGATTCAAGGTCGCCACCGCGCTCTGGTAGGTACACGTAGCTAGCCACTGCGACTGATTCGTGTTCATGGTGAAATGACAATGCCAATACTTTAGAACTAGCAACATCGGCAGATCGAATTATTTTTTTCCTTTTTTTAATCATTTCTTGCAAATTGTGAATATATTTTAAAAAAAAATTCCAAACGTTTTTGACAAAACACACACGAGTTTTTTTAGACCATCAGGGAGCCAAAAGGCATCCCCGGTTCCATTGCGAGCATGAAACCAGAACGGTCACAAAAGTGTTCAGGAAAACACACACGAGTTTTCAGAAAATGTGAACAACTTTTCTAATGGTAACCAAATTTTAAAATAGGAAAACAAAAATAAGTTGTGGACAAATTTCGAAAAACAGGGAAAAAGTTCTGACCAATTTTGATAAACATGAACAATTCTTAATATGTTAAGAAAATTTAAAATCAAAAACATTTTTATGAATTCACGAACAAATCTTGAGAAATGGAAACATTTTTAAAATTCCAAACAATTTTTGACAATCATGAACAAGTTTTGGCAAAATGTGAACACTTTTAGAATTTGTGAACAAATTTTCAAAAAAGGAATATTTTTTAATTTTTGAACAAATTTTGAAAATGGGAATATTTTTAAAATTTCGAATATTTTTTTGAGAATCACGAATTTGAATGCTTTTCTAAAAACATAAACATTTTTTAAGAAAATTAAAAAATAATTAGAAATCCGAACAAAATTTGAAACTCGGTTTTTGTAAAAAAAGAACACGAACAGATTTTATATTCTTAATATTTTCTGAAATTGCTAAAAAAATGAAAACAGGAAAAAATATATTTAAAACTCCAAACATTTGTTGAAAAGATGCACAAATTTCGAACTTTTTTGAAATTGAGAACAAAATTTGGAAATTTCAATTTGTTTTAATTGTGAACAAATTTAAAAACATGAACATTTTTTGAATATGTCAACAAAACTTTGAAATTACAAACGTTGTTTGGAAAATGTGAACAGATTTTGACAATAAGAATATTTTTTGAAATTCCGAAAAAAATTTGAAAGTTCAAAAAGCTTTAAAAGAAAAATAAAAACGGAAAAGAAAAGAAAAGAAAAAGAAACGCAGAAAAGAAAAAAGAACAAAAAAACCCGAGAAAAACCAGTAGAAGAAAAAAAAACGGTTCTGGGAACCATCTAGAAGGTTCCGAAAACTGGTAGGCTTCCACTGTGGTCACGCTCAGAGTGGGCCGGCCCAGATTCCGCGCTTCGGTGGTTCCCATGTGCGTTGCGTCGACAGTTCACGCAACGAGCGGCAAATTGGAAATTTCCCGTTACCCTACGTCGCCACTCTCTCTTCTTCACTCGCGAGAGCGCGAGCAAGGCCATTTCTCCGGTGCTTGATCCGAGGCCTTGCACATGCAAACAAAACATTGCCTTCAAGAAAAAAAAACATGCAAGAAAACCAGGGAGAAATTGCAGCTGGCAGCCCCATTTGCACGGCAGCCAAACGCGCTATTTGGTGTGTGCCCATCTGCATATAGACATATAGACGGACCTTTCTAGACGAAGAAACCCCAAGAGCGTACGCCGCGCATTGCCGCTCACGGTAAGGCGCCCGAGCAACTTCGCCACTCGCAAAACTCGCAGGGCAACCAAACGTTGACATCCACCAACTTCGCGCTATCCACCAACTTCGCGCTGATTCCTGGCACGACCGGAGCCCAACCGGCCGTAGGTGTTCGGTTTGGCCGGCAGATCGAGGCGTCTGCAGCCCGAGAAGTTGCATTGACATTTCCTGCAGTGCAAAAGCTATCGACCAGCTAGCTAAGCTAACCGAATGTCACGTCACAGCATCTCTTTCTTTCAGTAAGATACCAGCTCTTCTGCAGATCTTTCGGGCTCGGGTTCCCGAAAACGAGAAGAAGGAAGGACACCTCTTGTGCCTCCGCTGGGTAGGAAACTTACTTGAATCTGAGGCGAGGCTGAGTAATGAATGACTGAAGGCACCTAGTACGTACCAGCTGCTTGGCCATCCTTCTGCAAGCTTTTGGAAATTTCCAGCCTACAGCGGAGGGACGCCCACCTACTACTCCTATGGAGACCGGGAAGTCGCACCTAGAACAACTATACTACTCCAGTGAAATGGTCGAGCAATTGCAAAGGGACAGGGGCTGTACTAGTATAGTGTCATGCCAATTTCGCCGGTGGTTCCTATTCTCAGTCCCAGCTCTGTTTGGTGCCCATGCATGCACAACGTTTTCGCTATGTTTCCTTCATCGGCTCCCGTGACTGAATCCAGTATGGGGCATGGCGGCCAAACGTGGAGTTTATAACTTGTTTCTTGTCCAAGTAATTGCCACTTGGGCCATATGTTCTTGCCAGCCGCCACTTGCCTGTTCTACTAATTGCCTGTGGAATGAGACACTGCATGCTAGTCGATGATCTTGTTAGAGCTGGATCTTTCTGAAGGGCATGTTCTAATGGATTGTTGCTGAAGATGAGGGGCTAGGTAGCTCGTGGGTTATCTGTCCCGGCGGCTGCGTCATCTCACTGAAGATGGGGAGGTCGTGGGCTGTCTGTCCCTACGCGTGGTCTGATATCCTCTTAGCGCGGTAGCGTCATCTGCATGTTCTACATTACGATCATGGTACTATTTCCCTCTTTTTCGGACGCGGTATCATGCGTACTCCGGTATTGTTGGTATCCATCAATTTGTTGCTGATGCACTATCAGCATCAAACCGTCTATCCAAACCGGTAAACTCCGGAAGCTCAGGGCCAATGACCCATTCATTGTCGGGGGTACTACAAGTCTACAACCTTGCACCACAGCACCTACATTTTTCATAGTAAAAAAATCATGTTCGTGTATTCCATACGATCATCTTCACCGCCCAGTCATCACTCAGATCCACTAGTAAACTCCACCTGTTCGACAAGCACGCAAATCTTTTTTTCGAAACAGAGGTAAAATATTTGCCTCATCGATTAATTAAGAAGAAGAGAATTGTCCGGTTAATTAACAGAAAACCGGGCGAAAACCGATGCACGCAAATCTTATGTTACGAATAAACAAGAATAATCTAGATGTTCTTTAGCAAAACGGATTATAAACAATACATGGAATTTAGATTCTTTTTTGTTCTGTTTTGCGCAACATGGAATTAGATTCTTGGCGTCGTGTCATTGTTTATAGAACTGCAGCCTTTAGCTCGACTGTCAATTTCATCAGAGGTATTGCAAGTTTGGGCTACAGCTTGAGGTTTTGTTGTTCACGCTACTCGGGCAGAATGATTGTCTTGACGAATCAACGGCAGCGAGCCTGCCTGGGTCACATCGACATGTCCCTTTCATATACAGATTCGTATATTCACATGAGGCCGGGTGTTGAAGATATAATTTGACATAGAACTGCAGAAAGCAGAAGCATTATACTACGAGACTCAAGGACATTATGTGATGAGCAGAAGTGAAAATCTGACGCCAAATACA